AATATTTAACTAATTAAGGTAGCTAATATATAATTAGCACTTTGAATCACCACAGAGGTGTCCCAATGTCGAGGCGATATTAGCATCTCAACACCAAGGCGACACCAACAGTCTCGAGCATCGGGAACAATGGATTTCTTGATCCCACGGCAGAGATCAAACTTTGAGTCAACATCTATAATATGGTCTACTACATGAGAGCCAGAAAGCCTACCTTAGTTTGGGTGTGAGATTGAGCGAGATAATTCAGTAAATGATTTCGCAAAACTAAATTAGGATCATGGTTGAAAAACCTTGCGGATGCTGAGGATTTGAAAGGTTCAAAAAAGGTTTAAAATGTCAAACCTAAAGATTTTTGTCAAGGGTTCTTCAGAGTATTAAGTGGGGGAGAGTTAAATAATAAGACCCGTTTCGTAAGATCCTCGAGCATTTCTCAAATATGAGGACTCATCTGATCCATCTAACATCACAGTCGTGACATCATGCGATGCTAACCACACGACCCACTCCGTCCGACATATGATAAATGACTGAAGATGACATATCTATAGGCAACCAATGTCTACTCTGTCTTATGTTTCGGCTACGTCACTTGCCTTTGCTCATAAATAAAAAAGAGAAAAAAAAAAAGGTAGAAAGCTGTTCACTTTGGAGTTGCATGCGTCCACAGCTGGAAGACTAAGTACTTGTGTAACGGGATCATTGGAAAAAAAAAAAAGCATAGCATAGCATAGCATAGCGCTTGGAGGAACTTTGAATCATTAACCATTTAGAGAGAATCACATACGGCCGTAGAAGAAATCAAGGCCCACGAGCCTCTCTCCTGGTGGCATCATGAAGAATGTCGATGTCGACACCGTCAGGCGGTAGTTGGACATACCGTACCACTGATCCCCTGATAAAGCAATTCCTCACGGACAACTGCAATTTAAGAAACCAGCGGAGAGATAAAGAGTGACTTTAATATAAAACAATGATCACAGAAGTGAACAACTTTTTTTATTTGGGAGCCACGCAATTTTACCACACAGAAAATAAAGCGGCGAAGGTTGTGGAGTAAAAAACAAAGAAGAAGCTATAACAAAGGCCAAGTTTGAACATTTACTTTTTCTGTTGATCAAAAGCCATATACAGCACTAAGCTTTAATGCCCTATTTAACAACAGAGAGATCTGATCAATAGAGAGACTGAAATTCATGCCAAAGAATTTGGATCCCCCATTTCAACAAAAGCCATCTGGGATTTTTTTTTTTTTTTTTGAGTCTATTTAGGATTCTCTAATGTTTTACTTAGACAAGAATTAATTAGCAATCTCAAGAATTACAGCTGATAAAGAAGGATTACAGCTGGCCAAATGAATTCCAATTCAGAATTCCTAATTCATGTCCAATGATAATAAATTCTCTTTCAACTGGATTCTTGCACATGATCTAGAACACGAGTACAACATGCTTTACTCACAGAAATAGCACCTAAACGTTTAAATTTCCCAGATACAAGGTCTCAAGGAATAAATAAATACAATTCAAATGCAGACATGATCACTAATCAAAGTATCTCTAAACTTTGTCTAAACTAGCAATACTTAACCAAGCTTTTTTTATTAACTATATATAGTGAAAAGTGAAAACAAGAACCAAGCCAGTAATTTTGCATTTAAAAATATAACATGCAAGACTATATATACACAGGTAAATGCAGTTAAATTGGGCATTGACCTTTGGCCATAACAATCCATATCTGTGACCCTACAATATGGCTTGGGCGACATATTCGATGGAATCCTTGGAATGCAAAAGGAATAAGAGACAAAAGCAACCGTTTGTAAAATGTTCCCTAGAAAACTGAAACTCATGTCACCATCTGATGAAACAGATGCACAAACTGATCCGAAAGGAAAGGAAGAACGAAGGTGAAAACACAGAAAAATATTGCAATCTATTTGAACTCAGATGCCTCCTCACAAGTAATATGAGGTTCTCACAAAAACCAAACAGATACAGGTTAATAATCGATCCACAACAAGTTAGCAGGCTAAAGAAGGATAAAAGTGTTGAATTAAACTATACCTTGAAAAGTAAATTAACAGAAAGTGGACAATGGACATAGTGGTGGGTATTGTAAACCTTTGAATATATTTGAAAAGATCATTTTGGTGGAAGGAAATATAAAAGGAAACTTTTCATATAGCAAAATATTGCATAACTATATTAAATAGAAATGCACCATGGGAGAAATATTAAGGATTAAAAATAAAGAATAGGTGAAGATGAAGGAAAAAAATGAGAAGGGTGTAAAGGTTGATGGAAAATGAAGTTCCTACTTCAGCATGATGCTAAAATAATTCTATCATACAGGTACATCATTACTTTGAGGTAATTGCATTCATCTCTGTGTAACCTCAATCAATCTGATTCTGTCTAGAATAACATCATTACAATGGCAGCACTGATACACAGAACATCAATCGAATCAACCTAAAACATAATTTCAACATGGAACCAAACAATGGTTCTGAAATCAACCATGGAACTACATCAGACCTAAATCAGCCATCGGTTAGTTTCTATAGCACTCGTCAACCTAAAACCAAGTTGAGTCCTAAGACCTAATTAAATCTAAGTTTGCAGAACATCAGATAAGATCACTTTTTGAAGAGGGTAGATTGACTTCTGTCATCAACTTTAATTATTATTAACAAGTCAATATGGCTTAAATTAGATACTTTAGTTGGCTATAACAAGATTTCCCACAAGAGATATTTATGCAGTCTCACATAAACGGATGGGATGTTCATTACCTGGAAGCAAAGATTGTTGAAGCAAAATCAAGGTTTTATTTCACTGCAGGCTCTTTTCTCCCTTCTGTTACACTTCTTCGCTCAATGTCTCTACTATTCTCTTACCTCTACAAATTTTTTTTTCTCCGCTGCAGCTATTAATTAAATAGCAGCTTATAAAGTGATGTAAGTTTTAAAGAGATCCTTAACTAAGATCAGGGCAACCTAGGATCACAAGTTTGCACTAATTTTGTCATCAGCCAATCTGGTTAATCTTTATGGAACTCCTTTCTCTTTTCTCTATTATTGGTCTCCAGCATTCACTTTTACAAGAGAATATTTTATTTTATTTTATTTTTCCTAATTGAAAAGTTTTGATATTAACATGAAAAAGATTGAATACAAAGGTTTATAGAAAAAACACGACAATGGAGAAATCCTTCAGCAGAGGCAGATGGAAGTCAACATCAATCAAGTTTGACAATCACTATATATCATTTGTGTGCTTATCTCCATTTGTTTTGCTTAACATTGCATTCATAAGTTTGGATGTTATGAGATGTCCCATCATGCCTTTGCAAATAGGCATACTGCAACTTTTATTTTGGTCAACCCAATTCAACCACCCTCTCTCTCATGCTCTGATACCAACATATCTTTCCACCTTCTGATCTAATTGGTTTGACATCAGTGTGACTTCAACGAGTGCAAGTTTTATTTTCTCTTTGGAATTGTATATTAGCCCTCTGAATTAAAAGGAGGAAGAAATTTAGCATGACCAGTATAAACGTAGTCAAGTATACCTCTTTAATGAAACTATTAACCTACTACATCTTACTTGAGAATCAATCTTTTAACAATTAGGTGTCCCTTTCTCTCTTTCAAAATGGTTAAAAATACAGTTGTTGACCAAATATGCAAGAGAGTTGGTTAGGAAATTTGGAAAAGTACAAAAAGAAAATTACAAGCACATCATGTTTCCAAATCTTACTAAATTAACAATTTACGAACACTAACGAGAATTAAAAAGAAAATGGATTCTAATAACCAAGACAGACCCTTAAATCCATAAACCCTAAACCCATACGCTAGCAGCCTCAACCCACGAGTCAAGATCAAAGATGCATATGCATGAAATGAACGAAGTTGGGGAAAAGGAAACAAGAAGAAAGAGATGGCGGCGGCAGTACCATGTGAGGGTATTTGTCCTGGTCTACGACCCGGATGTTCTCGAGCTTGATGTTGAGGTACTGGTCGACGGAGTGGAGGATCCCTCTGATGGCGAGATCGTTCTTCAGTTCAACCGTCACTTCTTTCCCCACCAACTCCTTGAAGTAGGAGAAGAAGAGCTGCAACAAAACCGAAACCAAACAAATCCACATCAAAAGCAGGTAGAAAGTTCGAAGCAGAGATCGCCATGTCAAGGAACAAAAAAGGATCAGATTGCGAGAGGGAGAGCAAGGATTCGAGAATACCATCTTCGCAACCAAGGGATTTAGGGCGCGGTGTCGCGACGTCGAGGGGAAAAAAGGGAGATTTAGGTCGCATAAATGAAATAGAGCCGGATTTGCGTCTTGTCGGATCGGGTCGACCCAATTGCGGGTAACGGGTGTCTCATGCGAATTACTAATTACCCAATCCGAATCCGACCGCATCTGCTATTATAATCTGTAACGACAGGATGTCATTAGTGTTTGTTCCAATCGACTTTCATTATAAACAAGAAACAATAGCTTTTTACATAGTTATGTCCTAATTAGCAATGACAACAAATATATCTGATTGACTTAAACCAAGTTCAGATGTCCTTTCATTCGTTCTAGACTTTGCTTTGCATCTCATTTTTGGAAACTCGATTGACCAATTCTTAAATGATTCTTTTGACGATGTCAAACTCACTGAAAGCAGCTTCCACATTTAATTTATTATCGACGATAAAATATGGGCAACACATACTCTTTTTTGAACTCTGAGGAATTAAACTAAACATTTTGGACACCGATCAAAACTTAAAATCCCTAAACCACCAAATTTAACTATTTTTTAGCTTAATTATTATACCGATTAATTATTTGATAGTATAGGTGCTGAAAACACTCGATGACTTATTGCCATGCGATATCGATCAAGGTGTCAAGTTGATCACGATCAATAGAGCTAATCTCAACTATAATTGAAATACATGGTTTTACGGAAAATATAAATGTATACATCGTTTTACAAAAAAAAAAACACGAATTTTATAATTATAGTAGGTAGGTAGCATCATCAAATTAGTTTGTGATTTTTTTTTCTCAGACTTGATCTGGCTAAGCTGTATGATTATGAAGATAATCATATTTAACTCCATAACTTGATAGCTTGTTGGTTATCAATTGGTTAATGTAGCCTGCACAAATATATCACCATCGTCTACATTTCCGAGCAACCAAATTCTTTGGCAGAAGCAAACCTCTGGACAGAATCCACAATCTTTGTTCGAAGACAACTCAGCCATGGCAATCAAGGCCAGAATGTTGATGAAAACCACAGTAGCAGATCTCTGTAATAAACACAGCGTCGATCAGATTTTACAGACAGAAGATGAACTGCTAGCCACGTGTGAATATATTGAAATCCAACCTCGGGACGGATGGGAGTAAGGAACCTGATGCTTTAGAACATACTGCAGCATTTCTTTTACTAGGCACTGTCGTCGGGAATGGTTGATATCGAGTCTCTGTGTGGCCGGTGCTTTCTTTTTCTGAGCTTGGGCAAAGTAAGAATCCAGGAAGGAACTTCACAGCCAGATGCTGCCATCACATTGGCTATGTTCCTCAAAAAAGGTTTATCCTCTTCAGTGAAGAATGTTACAGCTTCTCCAGGTCTTCCAGCCCGTCCAGATCGACCTGAAGATTGAGAAAGAAGATACTATAAACTTAGAACAATAGGAGAAACTAGGTAGAAGATCACAAGACATAAGGTTGCGAAAAGAACTTTAGAATCTGGATAGACAAATTTTAGAACTGCATAAGATTGGGAAAAGAAAAGCTTTAGAATCTGGATAGGCAATCACAAGGCATGAAGCCTGAATGTGCATCTGAATAAAGATCATTAACAGTAGAAACTAGGTCGAAGATGGAAAGTTATTGAATTTTGGGCATGGTACCATCTTTTTAAGGTTCATAAACTTCTCATCCGATCATGAATTCATAATTGCTTATTGGTAAGACTTCACTATTCATCTGTTTATTCTCATCTAGATAACATCCAATCCTAATCCAAAGTTCTGAATCTGCATTGCCTTTTGTCTTAGGATGCATTCCCAACCTGAGTTTGCATGACCTGGTATGTTAGTCCCAAACCTTACCTCTTAGCTTTGACCCTCCCTCTCTGAAGGATGATGGTTGATTATTAGCAACAATAAAAAATATTACTCTTCATATTATAGAACTCAATTTCGCCAAGACCGGCCTATACAGGCCAGTATTTACTGGTCTGAGCATCAACCTAGTCCTCCCTACCCCAGAAGATTAGTACCACAATATATTCCAGCATACCATATGTCAGTATGCTGGCATGGATTCGATCCGTGCTGGTCCATTTAGAGAAGCCAGATAAATCTTCAAGCATGAAGTCAAAACAATTTGCTGATTACAAAAAGGTTATGCTACAACTAGCAAGGAAAAAGTTTAGTTGCATACCAATTCTATGAATATATGCTGCAGCTGATTCAGGAAAATCATAGTTGATCACACAGTTGATCCTCTTAAAATCCATACCCCGAGAAACAACATCAGTTGCTATCAGAACCCATGTCTTGCCTGATCTGAAGTTATCAACTGCATCTTCTCGCTATAACAATAAAACAAAAATTATGATCAGGGAAATGATGTGTATGAAGGACAATTGTCAATGTTAAATTAAAAGTACGATGACTGTTCAACCAAAATCTGAGGGTTGCACTAATCAATTTTTCAAAAGTTCTGAAGAAAAGATCTGCAAAAGTCAATTAGCCAGTTTTCTTAACAATCAACTGCACAAATGCTAACCTGCTGCTGGGAAAGGTCTGCATGAATAACATCAACTTTTATGTCGTCAAATGCTAATTCCTTGTAAAGTTCCTTCGCTCTTTCTTTGCTTTGAACAAACACTAGTACTGGAGGATTCAGACTCTATTGGTAAAAATTACAGAGATGTTAGTCAAACCTTAGATAGTAATCCAGCAGAAAAAAAAAAAAGATCTCTGAATCAAGCAAAGAAGCCCAAGCGCATCATACTATTTTTGACTAACCTCAGTGAAGTTCAGTGAACCAAAGTTTAAATGAATTACAGTTTGAGAAAAAGAGAGTGCTCGATGTTTTAAAAATTGTTAGATAAATCTAAATTGCCACTAATAACAATATTATAGGAAGCCTCGAACCACTGTTTAAACAATTTCAATTGTATTAGTGCATTACACTGACATATTTATATTCGTAATATAGAAAGGATATCCGTCATTAAAAAGGAATAAGATATCATGCCTGTTCTGCTTGACACAGGCATATTTGATTGACAGAGACAATTAATCATGTGGATTTAATGGGCTAGAAAGATAAAGATATCAGTTGTACCTCTGAAAAGCTTTGATGAATAGCAAGCAATTTCCCTTTTTCGCTACCAGCAAAAACAAGCTTTTGCTTAATCATCTCGGAGGCAGAATTTCTGTCAAAAGTTGTTCTGTTAGAGACGTATCATCTGACCAAGCAACTGTGAAGTTCATAGTGTAAATACTATTCTGCATGCCATACTTTCTACCAATGATGATTCGAACTGCATCAACCATAACAGTGCTTGCAAGTTTTTCAACAGTTTCAGGCAAAGTCGCACTGAACAGTGTACGTACTACAGTAGTTCTTGAACAGGCTTTGACCACAGAATCAATTTGTTCTACAAAACCTAGCTCAAAAAGCTTATCAGCTTCATCCAAGACAAGATATTTCACCCTGCACAAAGCAAATATTAAATGAGATATGCATGACCATTAATAAAAATTCTTGCACTTTATACTCCACTTCTTACATTAAAAAATGCAGAATGCCATGGAGACAAACTCAATATGACAACATATTTCTGTGTTTATAATGTCTATAATACTTCCATGTGCCTTTTCTAATCCCTGTAAGATAACGACTTCACAAACTCGAATTTGCACATTGTGATTAAAAAAGAAATGGTCTAAATTCCTGTAATTTGTATAGAGAAAATAAATCAGTTGTGATTGCTATTCTGAAAAAAACACCATTTTCCTGCTCCAATCCGCAATCTGACATCCTGCACCTGTTCAAGTTTTCTAGCACAACAGAGTTGGCTGATCATAACAACATTCAATAGAGATCTTAATGCATTTATACATGCTATTGTATTCTCACAACGGTCCTATTCAATTACTCTAACCTCCCAATACATTTTCTTTTAACCAAGCATAAAGTACAACACTATTTGCTATGAGTACCAACTAATTTTGTACCACATCGGCTCAATTCTAGCATGAAACAGAGAAGCATAATTCTGCTTCCCATGCATATAAGTGCATCCATGGCACATATACTGGTGCATGCTACTACATGGTGGCATGAGCATTGTTGATGCATTCTAACACAACACCATAGAGGTCACTGGCATGGCGGTGGGCCTACATCATGTAAGCACATAAAAAAGAGAAAGAATAATGCATATACAGACAAATGAGAAGCCATTAAGAATAAACATATAAGAATATCCTCATGTTCAAAGAGGTGAGGAGGTTGGCATGATGACAAAAAACATATAATTACATTAAAATTTCTCACCATCAAAATCTGGTTGTGATCTGAGCTTCATAATCAATTTTAATAGGCTCAGAAGAAGAGCAGACTCTAATTTATGTGATTTGAAACACAACAAACCAAGAGATCTATGCATATCTTTTATGTTCCAATTTTTGATATTTGCTAGTTCATAGCATAAGAAGTGTGGAATGAATTCACTATAAACAGGACATAAAAAGTTTTTTAGTTCATACCGACTCAAGTCAAACTTCCTTTTGCGAATAGCAAAGTCCAACCGGAAAGGAGTGGATATGATTATATCACACAGCATTTTTTCAAAATCACCACATCTGGAGAGCTCCTTAGTCATTAACTTGATGTAAAATTTTCTCCCCTTAGCCAGCCTCTTGCACTCTCTAGCAGTTTGAGCAGCTAATTCTCTAGTAGGGCAGAGAACAACAGCTTTTACACCATTCTTTAACCCTGGCTAATAACAGTAATAAAAACTTAAACTAATGCAAAGTAAAAGACTGACAAGATGTAGTCCATGTATAACAATGATACCTTAATCTTCATGAGCATTGGACATAAAAATGCCAATGTCTTGCCAGAGCCAGTTGGTGCACATGCAAAGCAGTCCCTCTTCTGAAATATGTAAAACCATGATATGTTAGTCCTGAACTATTCAGATAATGATAATATTGTAACAGCATAGAGAAATTAGTCCAGCAGTAAATGGGTAAATTTTCTAAAGTTAAATATAAGATAGACAAAGAGAGAGATGGGGGGAACGAAAGAGAGAGAGAAACAAAATTTAGGGCATACAGAAAGGAGTACTGGAATAGCCTGCCTCTGAATAGGTGTAGGCTCTCGAAAACCAAGTTCAGTTAAGTTATGCAAAATATATGGTTTGCAGTTATACCTGCACACAAAATAAAAAATTCAAGAACTTAGCAATTCGGCAAGAAAACTGCAACTGTATAAAAGGATGAACTAAAAAATAAAAAATGCTGGAAATGTGATTTGTTCTATTTGACAACATATAGTCACATAATTATTACTATGAAGTTGTACATTTCAGCGCTATAGGTACCCATATGTAAGGAATTTACATGAGCACAAGATACCAAAGACAGAAGAGGCCAGATAATCCCCAAAACAATGAAAAATGACAGTATGATATAGCACGTCCTTATTATAGATATTATATTGTTCTTAGTTATTATTCCTTACAATATTACTTCTATAGGTACAGAAACATCTTGGATAAACGCATCAATTATGGAACCCTATGCAATAAACTCTGGAAGAAAATAAAATGTCTAAATACTGATGATGCAAAAAAGAAGAAAAAACATTACTTGTTTGATAAGCCATCTAACACGATGACATTGTCATTCAGCCTCAACTCTGGAGGTTACCTAAATGAAGAATCAATCTCTATCATCAACTAGCAATAGTGATTAGCAGCAGCTGAAATGACATTGTCTCTTTTCTTTGCTTGTTTTGACAGAACTATTAAAGGTAAAACTAAGAACCATCATGTCTCTTTCTTTTGTTTCAAGAAGCTACTAAGATACAAATTCTGCAGTAAGGATGTGGGGATTAAACATCTGAAGATATTGTTCAGCATATTGGTTCAATGGCAGCAAATATTTTATGCAGTAACTGATGGTCATGATAGTCTAGGATCATCATATGTCTTTAATCCTAAAGCTTAAATAAAGGCAGGACAAAAAGATAACGATTGTGAACCTCCTTAATCAAAGAATAAACAGGAAATGTAGCTGCTGCCTGCATTGCACAAATATAGGACACCACAGAGCTTGCCACATGCGATCAGCTCAAGGTCTGGACATGTATTATGATATTGAGATAATATAAACTAAGGATTTAAATTCAGCAGTAACATGTGCACATGGCAGCGATGCTCAGGGGCGTGAGTGCATACAGAATATGCTATGCACTGATGCCACTGCACAGGCCAGCATGAGAACATTCAGCATGTACCACCAAAACATTTGTGCCAAAAGCCAAGCAACAGTGTGCTGCAAGTTGATCTCTAAACAAGGATTCTCCATATATGGGATCTCACCTTGAGCTTAGCTCCACAAAACTCTCGAGCGGGGGAGGAACACCGTGTCCTGAAACATGAATTCCATACTTCTTACGCAGAATAGAAGCTTTCTGAAGCAGGAAACAAAAATTTTAAGGTATAGAAACAAAAAAGAATCATTCAACAAAAAATAACAAAACTAGACCAAAACCACCTCAATCTCCTTTTCCACTTCCTTCTTCTTCTCAGCAGAAGTAGCCTCCAAAGCATTTCTTTCTAGAATAGACGACAAAGACTCGGAACTCTTGAACACACTGAACCCCTCCACAGCATCTGTTACACCAAATCCCAAACAAGGCGAAAAAACGATTATGACATGCGAACAAAGCTCGCATCACACTAAAGCAACAACTTTTACTGTGCGTGTACGTAAGCCAGAGATGCAACCAGAAGAGTCCTTATCCTTGCGCTTCCGCTTCTTCTCCTTCTTGTTCGCCTTCACCTCCGGCAAGGCTTCCAGCGCTGCATCCGCTAGGTCCCCGAGATCATCCGGTTCTTTCTTCAACTGCTGCAGCAAAGAACAAAGATTCAAGCATTAAAGTCAATCCAAAACAGGGAATTGGGTCACAAACCAACACAAAATCGGTTGTCATGCTTGCCTGGAATCGGGCAATCTCCCGGGCGAACCGCTTTCGGTCGACCCGGACGCCGGAGAAGAGCAGCCCCGACGCCTTCTCCATGAACGTTTACGCTGTCTTGATCTTGCTCGTCGCCACGGAGAGGAACCACAGCAAAACCCTAGCGGAGTGCGCCTACTCGATGAAATAAAAAGAGCTGATGCATATTTACGTACCCACCCCTCCCTTCTAACATATTTATACTTTGAAACTTGATATGCGGAATTCAATTCCTTTACCATTATGTTTAAACTTTTGCCTCCGTTACGACAACGACACATTCTCACTTTTAGTCCCATACTTAACCTTAGTCGATACATACGAATCGATGTTATTATGTCTACGATATTTTTACTTTTTTACTTTTTTTTTGTTTTTTGATCTTTAATTTAATCATATTTTTATTTTATTTTATTTCTTATTATCTGATGAGATTTGATAGGTAGGTCTACAAATACATCATTCAAATCCTTCGGCTGTTGGTATACTGTACTGCTGGCATACAGCTGCAGATTTACAGAAACACCAGCAAAAGGACGAGGCTGAGACCCAGATCTTTAACTTGTATCAACAAGACAAAGAAAAAAAGACTTGAGCAAAGATCAAGAGAGGTACTCACCAAATATTTTTAGCTCAGAATCAGCAACAATTTGAAGAAAAGAGTTATAAGTCACATGCTGAAGCTCAAAGACCTCGAATCTCGACACAACATCAAAACACCTGGTGATCGAAAGTGAAACAGATTTGTTTTAGGTCATACATGAAATGCCATTGCCAAGAGTTCGTTCAAAGTTCAGATAAAATGTTTCTGTGGCAATGAAAAGGGAAAATAAAACATCACATGTACTAATAACTTTAACTGCTGCTGTTGCTCGATTGCCTTAGGGACAACACAAAATCTAACTTTTTGACAGTAAACTGTGCTTCTGCAAAACAGTATGCTACAGCTTGCCTACCATATAATGCTGCAGTATTCTTCATCTGTTTGTACCTTCTTAACTTTAACCGACGAAAATTTCCCCTCTATATTCTTCGGAACCATCTCTCCAGGAATCTTCGGGGATGTGAAACTAAAGTCTGATGGCGACAGGATACCGCTGTATAATGGACAAAGTGACTAGAAAAAAAAAATGAAAGACTATAATACTAAATGTTAGAAATCCGGGACCCTACTTGATTGTCAATTTGTCATCCAATTAGTTTTCAACAAGTCTTTCGAAGCTCATATGATCGTGAAGATGACCTTTTATCAAGTTTGTTTATTTTGATTTTGTTGGTGTTGATTACTTACCCACGAAGGTAACATTCAGAGATATACTTTGTTTGTACTTTGTAAGAAAGAGAGACTTGAAAAAGTGCACATTTGACTTGGTGCAAGATAGTCATATTAACACGTGAGGATTGAATGTAGAGTCACTAGTAGAGATCTTCAATTGAACTGGTTCAGTAGAATGTAGATTGAAAATTTGAGCTCTCTTTTCAAGGCTAAATCACTAGTGTGAGTTGCCAAGTTGTCTCTTGTTTTTAATCGTTAGAGCAATATTAGTGGTTTTGACATGCTTGATTAGAGGTGTCAAATATACCTGAAGGTATAGGACCCGCCTATAATGGGGTGGAGATGGAGACGAGGATGAGGGACATTTTCGCACATATATGGGGCCGGGACGGATAGAGTACTCCCTCATTTTCGCACAATATATGGGGCGAGGACGGGTAAAGTACTCCCTCACCTGTTTACCCATCCCCTCCCCGTTAATAATATGGGCCTAGACGTTGGGCCTTGACGCTTGGTCCGCCTGATTCAAATCAGACTGAATTAGCCTTGGTTGAGTTGATTTCGAACTATTTAGTTCATTTAAATCAAATAAAATAATATCAATATTCAACTATTTTTTTATGATTGATTATTCTTTGATAAAACCCAACTATTTTTTTTATGGATTATGTAGTCCAGATCAATGATTATTTGCATGGGCATACCGAAAGCTGAAACTTACACGAAGATTAGATCAGCTATCTAATAAGAAATTTACACGAAGCCATCTTAGCAGTAGGAAGACAGTTCATAAAATTTTTGGATCCCTTATTGCCAAAAGAAGTTGGAGCGAAGGTGTCAGCTAGCTTAGCTAGTAAAGACCTTGATAGTTTATCGCAAGGTCCGGGGCTCGAATCCCATCTTCATCACTTACCCTTATCTTTATGCAAAACAAAAAACAAAAGCTGATGCCAACTTTATGGGTGATTGGAGCCAACTTTATGGATGATAGATCTCAAGAAAAAAACTGATGCAAACCAAGATTTGTGCAAGGTCATAGTTTATTCCCAATGAGTCATGTACGGTTAGTTACATTCTTTTTATCATTAGTTGTGATAAAAGGGAAATAAACAATCCTCACTACAACAAGCAGCAAGCCTTTATCCCATGAGCTCGACACTTGGGTGTCCCTGTCACATGCGATAGACCTTTCTTCCAAGATGGGCTCCTGTGCTACCGTGGGTCCGTCTTCCTCCCGTGCACCATCGTGTGCTCCTTCTCCCTCTTAAACTGTAAGGTGGCTTCATTCGACACCAAGCCATGGCTTGGCTTGCTATGGCAATCAAGTTTTTCTTTTTTTCTGATGGCTTTTTGTGGCAATCTCTTCTTCTCTCAGCATGGTTGTTTACAACCTTGCATGTGGCAGCATGTCAAACTCTCTCTCTTTTTTTTTTCATCTATAATATAATAAAAAATCCGATCAAGATCTTACAAATATATACATCCTTACCACATCATCTAAGATCCAAATCAAACACTCAATATATATTTCTCAAAGAACTCTAAATCAAGATATATGAATAATGCCTAAAGTATCAAATCATGAATCGTTAAAAGAATTTCAGGGACAACTCATATATTTTCAAGGTGAAGATTAGATGATTGATAGATGATCTACCTGTTTTGAGGATTGATAAAAAAATTTAAGAAGTCAAGAACATACTTAAGATTAATCTTTGGGATTTTTACAAATTAGTCCTTCATAAAACTTATAATTATATGTAGATCCTTAAGACATTTTATCTTTGTAACTTGAAAAGGAACCATCTATCCTAAGAATAAAGGATGAGAAGGATCAAACAATGGTTTGCAAACATAAATGAGTCTGTGAACAAGAACTTTGAAGGATGTAACATAATAGAGGAAACAAACAAAGATCAGAATAGGGGGAAACATACGATCGAAGAACATAAATGTGTTTCAGGGTATTTTTTATTAGCAAAACCAAGTAAAAATCGGACACAACAGATTAACAAATCCCATGCACGTTAAACCCAAATAAGGAACAAGTGAACCCAGAACTACACACAAGAACTGTAAAAGAAGAAATCAGGGAAAGGTGAAAGTAAAGCTAACCTAGAAACATTCTTACCCCATCATACCCCGCCATATGCTCGATTCATTATCGCAAATAAAAGATGCAGACAAAGAAGGAGAGAGGAAAAGAGAGATACCCCCACGGGTTGTTCCTGCGATCCGTTGAAGCGACCGCTTGCGAGGGTTGGATTCGGCTTCTTATAGAGGTTGGATAGGGTCGGCGTCGAGTTAATTGACTCCTTATATTCTAAACTTAGTTTATGATCCATGATGAGGTTTTACGTATCCATCGTTTCAAAATTCAGTAATAGCTTTTTTTTTTCTCCTTTAAAATTTTAGTATATCTCTTTAAATATATAGATCTTGGTAAATTTTTAAAAAATGTCCCTAAGGTTTATAATTTCTCAAATAACGCTCCAAGTTTGAAAATTTCCAATAGAGCACCCCAAGTTTGAAATATTTCAAAATAATCATCCTATCCTCATCAACCATTGCCCTTCGTGCAACCCATGGTTGCACCATCGCTTGTTGATCACCCCCCTTCATCGTGTCGACCACTCCCTTTCACTAGACCCACCTAGTGATGGAGGCACAATGGCCCTTGTTGCATCTCGTTGGATCGACAATGGAGCGGTCCTCATAGCCCTTACATGAGCAAGGGTGTAAGCGATACTGTGTGACACTTCTATGACCAATGATAACCCTTGTCTCCCTCATGCGAGCATAAGCACAGGCAACAATGTCACCCTCATGCGAGAAAGGATGTAGGTGACACTGCATGACACCTTCATGGCCAACGATGACGATGAGGGCCAAGGGTCCAATAAGGTTCGACAAGAGCCACATAACCTCATCGTTGGCACAATCTCCTCGCAACCCCTCCTTGCCCTCGCCATCGATCACGGGTGAGGAAGGGGGGCAATTCACCCTCGTGACTAGCGACGATGGTGAAGGTCGACTCGCGAGGCGACTAAGCACAAGGTGAAGGAGGGCCACCGATGGGGTGAAAAGCATGAGAATTAGGATAAGAATTTTTAAAATGGCAAGAGAACATACATTGATGCTTTGTGAGAATTTTTCAAACTTGGGATAGTTATACGAGAAACTCTAAAATTTAGGGGTTTTTTTTCGAAAATTCATCCTAGATCTCGTGTGTGTGTGTATATATATTAAATCCTTCATGTATGTCATTTGCTGATTCTTAGTAAGCATTCGTACTCAAAGAGTTAAATGCCTCCTGCATCACCTCTGTTGCAAGGAGAGGGACCAAGGAGAAGGGCGATTTCCCTATGTTCCCTGCTTTTGTTGGGACGTGAATGCAAATCCTTGCAAATGTTTTCTTCCTCGAGAACAAAAACCATTTCGCATCAGGTGAACCGTTTCTGCAGATGGCTCAGGTGTCTGAAGATGGTGAAAGGAAGACAGTCATAGCTTGTTCACATTTCAAGTGAATTATTGAGAAGAAGTGGGAAGAGGTGAGGTTGTCTTCTTGTCTTACTACCATGGACTCGAGGATGCCACCCACCCTTCTTGTCGTAAGCAAAAATAATGACTGTTCTTCTTTGGTGTTAGCTCTATTCGTATAATCATAATGTGTCGAAGCTCCCCATGCTTGATATTGGTAGGAAGTTAATTTGGCTAACCATTAGAGAAGATAAAGATGAGAAACCCAAAGAGTTATACAGTGTGACAAGCCGAGTGAAGAGATCCTACATAGGAGGGGCTCTGAAGACATAGAAGCTAATTCAATCGTACAAGGCAAGAGGTGTAGGTACTAAGAGCAATCCAAAACAAAGACAGAAAACTGTATTAGTTCACTCTTGGAAATCAATAAAATCAACTGTAGTTATAAACATGTTGGACAAAAATAAGAGTGACGTTAGATAAACTGGACTCACAAGCGGACTCCAGTTTTAACTCTCTAAACTCAACAACATATTAAGCTCGAGCTGAGCTTTCATACCTCTAGCTAAGTGACAAAAGGCAGGTTTGGGTGTGCTCTGCTTATGTTAGTTTCCTTCTCCAGCTTGTTTGTCTATGTGCTTTCACAAGACATAAACATATTAGCAAAAAAGGATGATGCTAAATCCAGCAGACAGAGATTTCCTACCAATTAAAATAGCACCGATGAACCAGAACTTCATTGTTGCTCAAGAGGTTGATTCTTTTCTAATAACCCTTTGTTCCTCCATATTTCTTGATTTCCTACACAGTGCTTCCGCACAGATCAGGGAGTCACCATCAAAAACATTTGTCACCGGGCAGAAATGCACACCAGGAAAACACAAACGGAGCGCAGCACTGCAATCCTACTTTCTGCAAGACATGCCCAATTCGTGTACTACCAAATTGGTCGTCTTTAATCACCCCAATGGCAGCAATTCAGCTCACATAAAAAGAAAATAGATTAAAAAGGCAATTAGTAGCAATGCACAACATCCAGAAATGTAGAAAGAGGGCATCCATATAGATTATTACACAATTACATGCTGCAGATTTATTCTTTAAATATCCATCGAAGAGGGATGACCTGAAAGAACCGATCTTGGTGAAGGAAAAGGTCAGTCACAACTACCAAATCTACCTAGATAACATCGTGAAGCAACGGAGTAGCTAATCGGTACCGGAGGATCCGTCGACTGGTGGCCGTGGAAGCCTTCCGATCATCACCTGCTCCCGAGTCGGACTCGTCGTGCACCCACCCCACCGACTTCTGGGCCTCGAGGACGAACTGCGAGATCCCTGAACCACCACGAGGGAGCACTTTAATCTCAATTGAGACCGTTCGAATCCCCCAAAAGCAGAAGTTAAGAGAAGGATCACGAAAAGGGAGACCCCCACCGTCTCTGACGGACTTGCGCTTCTCCCGGACCTCGTGGATGGTGGCAGA